AAACAATATCCGTGTAAAGGTTGTCTGTGAGAGATTGCCGTGAGCGATAAGACCGCCTATTGTAATACCAAAATGTAGATGTCCATCCATGTCTGTACAATATATACTGAAGCGGTGTACAATAAAGATGTATAAATAAATAAATATATGTTTGTTGTATTTGTTTGTTAAGCGGCGGTAGCGATCAATTGTCTTCGAGTTCAAATCCCACTTAGTGCAAAAGCGCAGTGCAGTGCCCTTAAAAACCTATTTCTAATACAAGCATTTAGCTCAACTGAAGGCGGTGAATATTACTGCATAACCGACATATAAAAGTTGTTGGTTTCTTTTTGGAAGCGTCTCATGAAGACTTTCGGTTCGTTTCGGTTTTTTATTTTAATAGAAACAGGGGTGAAGTGTCACCCCTATTCATCCCGTGGGTGTCGTAAGGGCAGACTAAGGGACAAACTACGTAGGACAACAGCACGGCAAAGAGAAGGAAAACTTGACACAAACCCTATGCCAACCCGTCTGGCCAGCGTGGTATAGTAGGCCAAACCCTCCTTCCTAAGGAGAGGCCTATGTCCAGCAGTGGACTGTTGTAGGCTGTTGATGATGATAATGATGAAAAGATAATCTGTTTATTAACATTTCTATAGAATTCAAACGCTTAAGTCCAGTTCAACACGACGATAAAAAGTCGCACTTTTTCTTTTAAGTCATAATGTACAAACTAACTTTTTCTTTGTACCTAAAAGAGTTTAACTTCATACCCAATAATATCAACACGTTGCAAGTACTTAAAATCTTTATCTGCAAACTTTAATCAAAATTATCCGAGAGTTAACATAAAACTTAACCAAGTTATCACCTCTGGTGGATTAAGAAAGGCGACGGTAAACGGAACTTGCGGAATTTGCGGTCGACTTTGACCTGACGCGAAACAGGTGTGAATAACTTTTAAAATATGCTAATCTCAGATGATGAACTCTGTATTGTCGCGGTAAGTATTCAGGAAGTTAATGAACTTTATAATAACACAGGCAATTGTTATACAAAAATTATAGGATCTGATAATTACTTCTGAATTTAATTTGATCCATTGCTCGAAGGAAATTGTCTTAAGTGTTATTGTTTATAAAGCGTTTATTCTTGAGAACAGCCATAAGTCAAGTCAAATGTTCATAATACTTGTACTGAACTGAATTATGATTACTGAATTGTATTAAGAAAACCATTGGTTTTTGTAACTTAGCTGCCTTAAATTATAATTAGACATTTTATTGAGTGTATATACAATTGACCCGCTGCTGTCGGTATGTCACAAAATTTGTTACCATATTTATTAATTCTAAGGCTGTACGAAGTTCACCGGGTCAGCTAGTTTTATTTTATAATTTAAGAATCTGCAACAAAGGCTGTTATAACTTGCAGAAAATATGTCACAATAATCTTTCGGTGCACTTCCGTATTTATAGGAGGTATGCAAACATTTAGTAATAAGTCAACAATCATATTTTACATATTTAACATATGAACATATGAACTGCCATAAAAGTAGATTGAGAATAGAATCGGAATTTTGTTTTTATCTTGTTTTACCAGTATGAGCAAAAAAAGTTCACTTAGCCTATATTTTTATCGGTGAATTCATGAGCAGAAGCTAGTTTATCTAAATATACCTATGGTTAAAATAATTTCTTTAGTTTATATTACAAGTGGACAATGAAACTTAATAGCGGTGCTTAATACTTGTATAAACATCTACGTTTACATTTCTGGTAGTGAAAGAAAACAGTATTTTTCATTTAAATTATATTTGTTTAACTAAATTAAATTGTGGAATTTGTAAAGCGCTGCCTTAGCGGTGTACTACGATACGCGACTGCGTTCCCTGAGGCCTCGGGTTCGGTTCCCGGACCGAGCAATTTTTTTTAGGGGTTTCTGACATGAAAGATAGCCTAAGTTACTCCTTATATAGACAGTACCCTGGTAGTAAAGTATTATCAAAATCGGTCCAGCCGTTTTGAAGATTCCCCGGAAAAAACAGAGAGACAGACAGACAAAACATATTTATACTGGTTTTTAGGCATAGGTATCGTGTAAATAACCATGTGAACGTGAAAAAAACTTATTGTTTTGACATTATAAACAGAAACTTCAATTTTATTTATTTGAATGGAAAAAACTTATGTTAAAACACACTAACTTAATAAAATAAAAAAAAGTAAAACATGTCAAAATTCAAGTCATAGGAAGGATTACATAGACCGCAGAGTTCTTCATCATCATCTCAGTCAAAAGACGTCCACTGTTTTAGATGGGCCTCCACCAAAGTTTTGCACAACAATCGTACCATACTGTAGAGTTGTACCATTGTGATTTTATCACCGTTCGTTTTGTCATTCAGCAGTTTAAGAATTACTTAATAACATTTCTATTCAGCGGTTATCCGAAAAGAATTACCCTACCCTATTGAACGAAGGCATAGAAGGAAGGTACAAGTACTTTAGTTAGAATGTCCACGAAACAATTTTGAAACCGAGCCTTCACTCCACAAGCCATAATAGTTCATTATGAACTTGAATCTTAAGGTATTTTGTAACACACTTCTGTAAATAAGTTTTTCATCTTTGGTGATTAACAAGTCATAATTGATATGACATAGAGACAATATACTCGTATATAATTTCGTACATAATTAAAAAATTATATAATTTCGACAAGTTATAGAGAGTTAAACACATAAGGACAAAAAATAGAGGAACATATACATCATATCAAAAGCCGAAACACGTATCCACTAACATACATCTTCCGAAACTTCCGGTGAAAATGCGTGCGCACGATGCGTGTCGATTGACCGGAAATAGTAGCCTTGTATTTACAACTTCCGCTTGGAGGGATGGCGGGACCCAATTAATAACTTTTATCACCGCCTGCGCCGACACCGAGCTCAATTAGCACTACCATAAAAATCTTCACGGCTGATTGGGCCGAAAACCCTTACGTCTTGATAAGTTACAAACTTTCTACCGATTCTGAGGTTATCCAGCTTTTATCCTATAAAAGTAACGGTTTATTTTGCTATGAGATTACTTTTGCACTTTCTAACTTCAGCGATCAATAATTGAGCGTTTATCGGTATACTACAATTATTTTATTATAATATATTTCTTGCAATTCATTTAATTACTCACGTATTATGTTATTAATTAATTTGTCAAGGAAAAAAATAACATAAAAGGAGGCAAATAAAAAACTGATATATTTTTTCATTATTTTTTTAAAGACAATCCCGTAATAGGAATAAAACTTGTGTCTCAGGAGACTTTACAAACATTCATGAAAATGACAAATTGATTATTTACTGCCTTCCTAGCCATATCTTCACTACACAGTCCATCTACCTTTCTTGGGTCTTCCTCTTCTCTTGTACCCTTCAACTCCCATACCTAACACTGTTCACATTCCTCCGCGTGATATGTCCATACCAAGATAACCTATTACTTTTTAGCTTTTCATCCAGTGGCGCTACTTTCAGACCCCCTCGTATATGTACTCATTCCTAATCTTGCCCACTTGAGTCACACTACACATCCATCTCAACATTGTCATTTCGGCTACGTTCAGGCGTCTCAATCGCGTCAATAGATGAGACACGCCAGAACGAAGCCGAAATCTTGATAGGAGAACTTTCAAAACCATACAGGACGGCAGGTCCGATGATAGTTTTATAAATTTGTCCCTTTTAGTTTTAAAGGGAAATTTAAGTCACAAATTGTTCCCGTTACCTGCCGCCACTTCAACCATCCCGTATTGATTCGATGTTGTAGTTCGGTCGATCTCGCCATCACATTGTACCAAAGACATTGTGAATTACTCAATGCGTCATACAACAAGCTGTCATTGCATCTCAAAAGTTTATTTTTTCTGAATGTCTTAAATGAATGCAGGTTTGATTAAGTGATTCATGTCCTACAAAGTCTTGTGCGTGTCGATATGGTTCAGTTACCCATAATGTAAAACGATTAGCCTAATATCAGGCGCGAAAATGACCTGATGTTATTAGCTTGTAACGTGATAATCACTGTATTTAGTTTCACAAGTAGGATCATGAAATATCAGAATTAATATGAAGTACCTTTGTTTCATTTGTTATAATATATTATTGCTTGTTCTTCTTTTTTGCTTTAGCATATGCATCAACTAATAAAAATACTTTGGACTTAATAACATAGTTCAGTTGATAAATTTTAAAAGAAGCGTCTTAAGACCAACGTTACATTTAGTTTTTCTTTAAATATAATACTGGTAAAACAAGCTATTATACAATTGATATCAATAGCATCAATAGCAACTAAACCAGATATGAAATTCGACATCGACGAAACATCTACGACAAATCTTTACTGCTGCTTTGGTTTTGGGTCACATCCTGTGAAATACGTACACTACACCACGGTTAATACGGATAGGTTTATATAAAAACATTGCTATTGATTTCATATAAATTTCACAGCTTTGGAATATCTACCTACGAATTAGAACTATTCCGATTGGTAGTTCAAGCTTTTTTTTCTGTTAGAGGGGGCAGACGAGCAGACGGGTCACCTGATGGAAAGTGACCATCGCCGCCCATGAACCAACTGTTGTAGTAATAATAATAGTCATGCATTTTCAATACATGGTGCTATGTTCTTAGAAGTAAGAATAAAGTACGAAAGTAGTACCCACGACGAAGTGAGGATGAGCTCGACTTTCACGAGTCGCTTTTGACTAAACTAGTTCTTTCGTACTATCTATTAGTGATTAAGCAGATTAACTGAATAGCGCAAATTCATCCCCACCTGTATATATGTAAGTTAATATATTTGCATCAAAAAATATCGTTGATGCTATTAATTTGATCTATTAGCTTAGGTTATTTACCATTAATGATTATCTGCGTCCACTATATATACACGCAATGAAAATAAATTCTTATAAAATGGTGACTATAGATCAATAATAAGCAAGCAATGAACTATATATTCTGCGTAGTTATTTTGGTAACAAGCCAGGGGGCTGGCATCATTGGTGTGAATGCAAACTTTGGTAAGAATTTTGATAATATTAATTTTTATTTTCCTATTCGTCTTTGTCTTACTTTGACATATACTTTTGATAAATAAATGTGTCATAGAAATATGATTACATAGTACGTCAATGCAACGAGACCCTTAAAGAAAAATGCCTTTGATATTGATTAAGCGTCTTGTCAAATAATTATTTTAGAAATTTAAAATAACGCAACAAGAAGTTCCTTTGTGACTTTCCTTTGTAAAACTTAGTTAAGTTAGAGTCTAACTGTAATTTATTTTCGGAATTACAGACGGCTGGCATCAATTTAACAATCATCATTATTATGATGATCCATACTTGGAAAGACCTTGTGTTGTTCACGACCTGAATTGCATCCGTAGTTTCTTTGCCAAAAAAACTGGATGCTCACCAGTGCATGGAACACTTCGCGATCCTATTTTGAAGGAGCTAGAATTTGATATACCCTTTGTTAATGTAACACTTGAACTGAACAATGCTTTACTAAGAGGACTTAGTAAAGGACACGTCAGAACCTTTTTGTAAGTAAAAATATTATTGGTTTTAAATGTATAGGAGGAACTTTTATTTTGTTTTAACTACATAGTATTTTGTCCATCATTAAACATTTAATATTTCATGTACATGTTTCGGGAAAGTCGAGTTTCAAAATTGGAACTAGTTTAATAAAACTTTCTATCGCGTTATGGCAGGAAACTTTACTTCTTGGTATAAGGTAAAAAAAGAGTATAAACTCTTAAAGGGTTTTATTCTTAAAGTACTAACACGCAGATATACAAACAGAAGGAGGAAATCAAATCAGCATGACATAAACAGTCGTCACTTTACTATATAATAAAAATGATCTTATTGATGGACGCATTTCAAATTGCAACATTTTTACGTTACAGCATTAATAAAAGAACAGACTCATTAGTTTTCGAAGTTGAATTTGATAATCTTCAAATTGAATCTCTCGAAACTGTAGTTTCCCAGTACTTTAAGGGCAGAGAACCAGTTGTGGCTACTGATGCTACATCTGCTGAATTTAGTAAGTAGTAACTTGAAAACCATGACCTCACATACTTAATCTGTTTTATTCCTTAATCTCTAATCTATTAAATGTATAGTTTAACAAAACACGCTTTACTATTAAACCGCATTAAATAAAAAAATAAAAAAATATTCACATCCTGAGTTCATCATGCGGCATAGCGGTTTGTGTAACGGACTGGTACGCCAAGGTCGTGGGTTTGAATGCCGCTCAAGCCAAACATTAGTGTGCATGAACAATTAATGTTTGATTTGGTCTGGTTTCTATGTATTATATGTACGAGTATGTATTTACTAAAAAGATTAAAATGTATTTTTATCGGTTTGTCTAGTACACATAGTACAAGCTCTGCTAGTTTGGGGCTATATGGCGTTGTGTGAACGTAGTAGAATATTATTATTATTATAAGACCTTTGCTATTGATTCGGCTCGAACCGAATCTGATGGCTTCGTCAAGGCAAATCAAATCATAATAATAAATCTCTATTCGCAAAACTTGATTGTAGGTTTTAGAAATGTAGTATACATGTAGTTTTACATGGTTCATACAATAATAGTTAGTGTAGTACTGTACATCTAACTAGGCCATAGATTAGCCTGTGATAAAGAGGTACAATGCCCGTCCCCTTAACAGTTGCAGAAAAAAAAAGGATGATTCATCGAGCTTACAATTAAATCGGCTCTAAGATCCCAACTTATAGTATTGTCCTCAAAACAAATTATATATACAAAGTTTCTTTTTGATGCGACAACTAAGAGTATGTTTAAATCAATTGAACGTAGGGTAAAAATTTGTTTACCTGATTAGTTACAGTGGTAGCTAATAAAAGCATGTTAAAAATTACTATTTCGATTCTAGCTATCTTGGGTAAATTAAATAACGTATATCTGAATTTATTTGCAGGAGACTTATCGCTGACGTTAACCATAAGAAATATCTATGACGTTAAACATATCAAAAGCCACGTTCATGCTCACGTCTCTGACCCATATCCAGATGTATATTTGGGCCCAGGAATCACACATAAGAAAAAAGGTAACTTTAACATTTTAATATAATTTACAATTTAAAGCGTCTGGCGAGTCTTACTTTCGTTCTTTATGTTGATTGGAAAAGCCCAAAATCGATCTGGGTGGCGTGCAATGGGAGAGGCCTATATCCAGCAGTGGACTGCGATAGGCTGATGATGATGTTGATGTTATGGAATTCTTGGCAGCGACATGTTGATTCGCAACCAATTACATTAGGGTCAATCTTTGAATCTTTGAATAATAGAATACCAAGTGGCACGCATTGTACCTATCTGATATAAAATTTTAAAATAAATAAATAGAACACCGTTCATTATTAATAGTTTTTGAAATAATTAGAAATATTTTCAAGCACGTATCTGGTTACTTGTCTGTTATAAACACATATTAAAATTTTGGAATTAAGTGAAATGCAATGATACTGAAGAACATAACAGTATATATGATACATTAATATGAATATAAATTATGTATATTAATATACAAAACAGAAAGTAACTAAAATATTCTAAAATGAGAGCAATAAAATGTAACGCACTGTATCGCTTAACTTATAATATTTTGTTTTCTAGCCTACCGTCCAATACTTAAGTGGGCACACAAATATCTAATTGGCTTGAGTGCTCAAGAATCAATGGTGAAACAAGCTCCAGTATATATGGATTTATTTCTTAAAACCAAGATCTGTGACTTTCAATATTAACATTACAGTAATTGAAATATGTTACCGATGAAGCGCTGCTATATCAAGTGGCAAAATTATGAAAAGTAATTCGACTTTGTGAAATCGACTTGAACAATTGTGAAACTATTCTCGATTATGGTAATCGACCTCGACATTATTGAAGAACTTTACTATAATCAAAATATTTAATTATAAGCTTGTTTGTATACCTGTGTGTTTGTTTTCCTAATGCCTCTTAGTCAACTTGTCAATCATGTTAAACTTATTTACGTATTTGGAGTACGATATTTGGTATTTGAAGTACGATAACCCGTGCCAACTTGCATTCAATCATGTTTAAACATGTTACGTTGCAGTAGCGGTGCGTATTCGCGGTATTTGTCATTTGTTCTCAATTAATCTCGTGATTGTATGATCGTATCGTTTTACATTTAAAAGATGGCAGTGAAATTGAGAAGAATTAAAAAAGTATTTTCTTAGTTAATAAATTATCAAACAATAGGTAAGATTTGTTGACATTTTATAATCAAGAACTGCAAAAAACCATTGTACGTGAAGATTATCGGGAACTTATTGAACTATCTGTTATTTTCTTCGGAGGAGACAGTGAAAAAATATCAAATTAGACTTCCTGGAGCAATGGATCAAGCAAGGTGGATGGCTCGAGCTATTTGCTCTTTAAAGATATGTTTTTTGCAATCCCAGTTTAACATTAGCGCCAAGCACAGGCACTTCAAGATGTCTGTTTATTCATTGCGGTTATATATCACTAAAGTGAAGGCACCAAATCAAGATTTGAGCTTTTTAAAGAGGCTGAAGGAATATGAAACTGTAGACAAATTGATGTCCAAAGCAAAGAAATTGCCCTTTTATTACTCTTTGATGATGCAGCTAATGAACAAACCAGTACGAACATTATAGTAAACTTACAAAGAGAGAGTTTGTGATGATTCTTTGAAGAGATACATTCCATCTGAAGAAGATATGTCTGATTATTTGTATGATAAGCAGGAATATGATATACTGTTTTCAATAAATTGAAAATTATACTGCCTTATTTTTTGTTGCAGGAAAATCATTAAGTGATTTTATGTCTGTCAAGAGCACAAACTTATTTTCTCGATTGAAAACTGATAAGAATTTCCTCCAGAGACACGTTTACAGAGACTACATGGGATGAAGATGTTGCCTATTTAGAGGGAAAAAGAAAAGTGCTTTCTGTAAGGGCAGCTAATGCTACAGCTGAAAGAGCTGTAAAGTTTTTCTTGGTTTGATCACTGCAAAGAAAGAGCAAAAGCAATTTTTGTTACGCTGTGTTCAGGAGCATAGAAATCTGTATACAGACTGTAAAAAAGATACCTTCAAAAGAAAATATCCTTCCTGACCTGTATTTTGTCTTCTTTTAATAAACATTTTTTTTTAATTTAAATATTTCATTTGAATTGCTTGATGTTGGTTTTCTGTAAGACCGTACTATCTCTTTGGTCAAGCCGGTTTGAATGGTTTAATCTCTTCGAAATATAGTCTTTGCACTTTGAATCCCAGTCCTTCAGGCACAACGATCGGCAGCTAAAATGCGCTTTAAACTAATGAATACGGATAGTAAGAGCAATAAACTATCTGACGATAATGAAAAACGAATTTACAAGTAAGCTCTTAAGACAATTCTAATTTGCATCGAAAGCTATCAACTTTTCTTCATCACCATTATCATCATCATCATCAGTCCACTGCTGGACATTGACCTCCCCCATTACACGCCAATTCAATCCATATTTGGCTTCTCTCATCCAACTTCTGCCAGCCATCTTGCGCAAATCATCCTGGCCTGTGGGCGTCCTATACCTCACGTTGTCGTCTATCTATCGTCCTATACATTTGCCACTGCACTTTTTGTCCACTTATCCATGTCGGTTCTGCGGCTAATACGCCATGCCCATTGCCACTTGAGCTTATTAATAATTATTTTATTTTATTGTCTCAGAAAAAATACCTACCTACACTGGTCCTACACTAGGATTCCCTGTGACACGGGATCTAACCCTTCAGTCAATTTACTTTACGAGACATTAATAAAAATATTAAAAAAATAAAAAAAATAATTATGTAAAGAGAAAAAAAAAAAGGAAAAATACAAGAAATATACAAATAAGGAAGTGCCGCAAGCAAACACACATCTACGGAGTGTGTATGCTTGCGTTATATGTATGATAATTATGTGTGTGTGTGTGTGTGTGTGTGTGTGTGTGTGTGTGTGTGTGTAAGCTGTGATTTAATGTTGTATTTTTAACGAAAAAATAATAGGCACCTAGAGCAGGCATGTGATGGTCATTCTTACTAAAGAACAATATACATTTCTTTAACTAGTATTTTTAAATACAATTTAATTGTTAAACGAATAATAATTTTATATAATATCGACATTCACATGCAACAGAACATACTATACTACTACTAAACAATGGGTATTCTTATATCAGACACTTCTTTACATACTAATAAATAATAATACACATAATTAAACATCTCTTTCTCTTTTTAAAAGACAACTCCCGCACTTAGAATATATCCTGTGTCGCGTGGGACTTTACAAACATACCTGAAACGGATACAAAGAACATGCAGACTCAGAACAACAATTTGTGTCTCACTTGGTTGTGGATATCCAATAACCTATTATAGCGCTGTCCTTCAGGTAAGCTTCCAAGAGCGGTATACATATATAATCCATTTTTGTCTACTGTGTAGTTAGCCTGAGTACCTGAGCCACACAGGGCAGATCATTGGGTGAAGAGTATGATCAGGTGATATGTGTAAGTATGTTATTTATTTTATTTATGTATTTATACTTCCTGCAAATACATTGCACAAGGCGGACTTATGTACATGACTTAGACGTATTTATCTGTTTTTACTAGCTTTGGCCCGCGGCTCCGCCCGCGTGTCTGTTTGTTATCGCGGTAAATAGTAGTTTATGTTATTCTCTGATATATTTACCCTTATTTTCGCACTGTATTCTATAGTTCAGATTTTACGTGTTTAACAAATGTTTCAGTGCTATACAGATTTCTTAGAAAATATGACATTATTACATTGAATTTTATGGAGGATAATTATTTAATTTATTTTTCTGGGTGTTGCCTTTTTTTGTTCTTAGTGACGTGGTGGAAAATCCCTTCGGATCACCGGCTCTTAGGGGAAGCAGGAGCCAGGAGTATGTGGTGTCTCCACTAAAAACAAGATCTCAGGCGCCCTACTCTGAGGAGGACCTGGATCATGCAATTTCAGCACCCCTCCCTCGAATCGATGCCACACCTATTAGGCCCTATCCCGAGGGAAGTCAGAAGCTTTTTCCTGTCTATCACTGAATCTAGGAGCCCGATCGCATTTTGGTGCGATCAGGCCGCTCCAGCAAAGAGAAAAAAATACTCGTACATTTATCTTAGTTACATATTAAATATTGGGCAAAATATTTTCCCACTCGCTCCGGGCTTAGCCCAGAAGTAATAAGCGATTTAACACAATTGTATTAAAACTTATTTGTTTTGATTGCTAGTAGCTAAAGTTACTTTATGTACCGGTTTGTACTCACCTTTATTTAATAACTCGTGTGTCGTCTTCCTAACACTACATAATATTCATTAAAATAATTGAAATCTTCCTCGCATTAAATACTATTTAAGTAAAGCTATAAAAGATGAAAATGTTGATTCATTACGTTATTGTACTCGCAAACATGAATACTGATTTATGTGTAATTGTTCTAATCGCCCTTGAAGTCAGCCAGGTTTCAGGCAATTACTGGCAGGGTAATAAATATGGCTACAATTTAAACTCTGGTAAGGAAAATTGCTTGTATTAATTGATATGCGTCATACAGTAATAAGTGTTTGAATATCGTAGTTTTTGGGGTAAAATAAGATAGTGATAGATTATACTGTAGAAGTCCTATGCTTCGACGCAAATTGTATTCGGCCTTACAGAATTCCTTGTTTATTTTTCTGAACTTAGATTATTACAATTTATCGTGTTTATGGCGCATTTAACTCTGTGATAAATGTTTTTAGAGTTGAATTGTATAATCTTGCAACTGCAATTAAGTCTGGTTTAATATAATATTATAAAGATGGCAATATGTACTCGTCAACTAAAAAAATAAAAATACTGTTTTTTTTAAATTAATAATGGTAGACATTATGTAAGGAACGTACGTGGTACATTTCAGCGGTGAGTGAGCATGGTCCTTCGTACAAAATACCGCCTAGTTTTGTCGTATCAAAACATCTCAAAGAATAATAACTTAGAATTATTGAATTATTCATATTTTCAAATTGTATTTAATCGTTTTTTTTTTATTACAGCACGTTATTTAGATAATACTAGAAAAGAATATGGTCAAGAATCACAAATCCATAACTTAAATCTTCCTAATCAAAAAAATGACAAAGAAATCGTCAAAAGACCCTGTTCCATTAATGACATCGACTGCATTCGTAGTTTCTTTGCATATAACTACAAGTGTTACCCCATGCATGGGTTAGCCCCAGACCCTTATATTCTAAGCAGTGTGCCAATAGAGTTGCCCCATGCTAATATGACAATGACACTTTATGATGCTAAAGTTCAAGGCCTCAACTCGGGAAGAATTCAAGAATTTTAGTAAGTGAAAAATTGATTCAAGCATGTTACAAAAACATAACATGTTTTTTTCTAATATAATTATCACCTCTTAATATTTTTTTGCGTGATTGTTGCTCAAAATTACGATCAAATTTGATTGGAAATTTAAATTTAATTTAGCATTGATTTTTATCGCATTTTTATTCAAGCTACTATGAAATAAACGATACAACCTAACAGTTCAAACTGAACACCTGAAACAGTGTTTGAAACTGTTGAATACATTTTTGATAAACTTGACAGTAAATATTTTTGTTTAATCAGCTATTTAATGAAAGAGTTGAAAAAAATCAGCTAGGTAGTTTTTTGCTTATAACGAATGGAACGGGAACTAAGTAGCTAATAAAATGTCTTGCACATTTCAGCATAAACAAAAATACTGATACACTGGTTCTGGAAGTGGAATTTGAGAAGGTGGTAGTAAACACGCCTAACACATTGATGACTTATCACCGTAAAGGCCAGGAACCTATAAAAGCTTCAGATTTGACTCTTATCGAATTTAGTAAGTGCTACATTAGTAATTAATGTGCAAATATGGTAGACAAGAAAAAAATTAATCAATCCGTTTATAAAGCCTTTTTAATTTAGTAATTGTAATCAAATCTCAAAAAGAAATAGTTTTGCTTTGATCTGTATTTTTATCTGAGGTATGTATACCTATATCCAAGATAGTGTCCAATTTCATTTCTTTATAAATTGCGTAGCTTGGTGGTGGTGATAAAATTCTATATAAATATAATCTATGAGAAACAATAAAACCCCTTGTATAGTTGTTATTTATCAAGTAAGTGTTATATTGTAATTCGTCTTACAGGAAACATGTCATTGACCTTGACTACTGCCGTTAGTAAAATGACTCCTTACAATACCTTCGTATATCTCTACCTACCTAATCCAAAACCATTGTTACAAGTGGGTTCTGGACTGCTGCGCTCTAAGGAAAGAGGTACCTCTAAGTTTCTTATTTTTAAATCATGTAATATTTAGATAACGGGTGTTGAATGCGAGTTTTTTCTTTTTTTAAACGAGCATACCTTTTTATTAAAGGATTTGGCTAATTAAATAAAAGCTTGTATTCTACTTTTTAGATATCTCAAGATTAGTGACACTTCTTTTCATATAAATTTATTTTTTGTATGAAATATAAATATAAAATGAAATGCCCATGAAATGTTTATCATGTAAACACTTTATAAACACCCAATGCGCATTCAAAAACCGTCATGTCATCGGAGTCTTAAGATTTTTTAAAATTATCTAATTGATTATCGACATTTGTTCAATAGAATTTAATTAAAATTATATTTGTAGATCAATCAGCATTGGATATAACATGGATGAATAACATTGAATTGTCAGTTAAAGAAGCGTTCGTCATAGTTGGTCCAATTTATATGGCTGCGTTTCTGAATAGCAAGATATGTGATTTTAGCAACGAATAAAATACCATCTAACATCGCTTTAAATATTATAAACTTTAGAACTTTTTGAATATGTAGTTTAAAGATGTTACTTTATTATTTTTTTGTAAATCTTTAATTTATATTAATTTAAATACTCCTTAGTTTTTTTTATTGTGAACTTAAGTTATTCCCTATCCAATAGATCAATAATGATTATGCTATTGCACAGTTAAATGTAGTGCGTGTTTTGCATGGTACTTGACACATGTTATTATAGAGCTCAGAATCGTATTCCAAATCACCCTTCATCGATGAACTCTTCGCTGAAAACACCCTTCGTCCGAAGTCGGTTCTAAAAATTACAGTTCACAGATGAACGGTTCGCCGAAAACACCATTCGCTCGTAGTCGGTTCTACAAATTGTAGTTCACCGATGAACAGATCGTCGAAAACACCCTTCCAATGATTCCTTGAATCCATCCATCCTTCATCCATGGTCGCTTTGAATTGAAAGTGGCACATCGAAAATTTTTTTTGCACCTAAAAGGACAATGGCAGGTCGCCATACATAATTTTATTTGAACTGAAATGTTAGCGTTTAAATATCAAAAAATCCTTAACACTTGAGAATTTATTCTTGACCATTCTCATATCAAAATTACTTGCGAAAGAAGTCTAGGAAAAAAGATATTGGATTTTGAATGTTTCGAGGTTAAGTACTAACATATTGTTAATGTTTTGTTTGAAACTAGATGGCGTTGTGTGTCAGATAGCTGAAAATATTATTTTCATTATTATTACAGTATATGAAATAAAAAAATAAAAGCATAACATCTATTCGAGTTTAACACTAAATTAAACAAAAATAAAATAACAAACGTGGTGAGTCCGGAACTTGACAGGATCTAAACCACAGATTAAGAGATATGTACTAAACGACGACGTATCGACATTTTGAAAATATCGATGTATGTCTATTTATGTGCCGTTATCAATGACAATGTATTTTTCTCATCACACTGTGTAGTGGAAAATAACGTAACTGTATTCTATTTCTTTAGTGTGTTTAAAATCGTTTAAAGAGAGTCAAAAATATTTTAAATCATTTCTAATTATGTTGATTCAGTCACTCTACCGTACGAGTGAAGACGTGGGCAGAAGCAAATTCATAATCATAATAGTGAACCTTCGGTAAATATTTCAGCCAAAGCTATAAGAATCGATTATCGATAAATTGTTCCATAATATAATATTGCCACCACGCATCCCTAGTCAGTTATACGTGATGGCGAATCTGACATTACGTACTTAGGTCAAATAAAATCTTCAAAAATATCTTATCTCTTATAAGACTTATACAACACATGGTGGTGTAATGATAAATCATAGAAAAAAATTTGATTAAGTTTACTGTGACTCGATTTTTTAAACGCTTAAATTTTAGGTAAATATGTTTCTGCCATTGTTCTTTGAACTGTTTCATTATAAAATTACCTGATTATTATCATTTTAAATGAATGAATAATACGTTTTGTTATTATTTTATTCCTATATGCTGAAAAAAAAGGTAAAAAACGATTCAACACAATTCATTAAAAACAATGCGTATTTATAATCATGGGCCTTCTACATTTATCAAAAATTGTTTTGAAATTTTGAAATGATATTAATTATAATTATATTTATTTATAATTATAAAACCAGATCTTCGGTTATGCACATCCAGTGTTTTATCAGCCTATTGCTGTCCACTGATAAACGAAGCCCTCCCCCAAGAAGTGCTAATCATCCCGGTCTTGAGCAATGTGCATCCATCCGCTGCCAACCATTTTTCATAGTTTTTTGATAGTTTAACAAAATAGAAATCCTACGTTCACTTTCGATAGATTGATCTTAAATCATCAAATGTGCGAACTGTCTTACAACTGTCGGTTGACAGCCTGAGCAATCAAACTAGTAACGATTTAAAATTATCTGTATGTGGAAGCCCTAACTGGTATTAGTGATCAACAGGAACCAAGGAAGATGAAAGATCAAGTAAGTACCTAAAACTGATAAATGAAAACAATTTATGACTAGGATTTCTGTGATGATCTACACATATAAAAATAAAGACTTAAGTATGGGTTATAAAAGATATACACGTAAATGAGATGCACTGGGAGATGTTTCTAGATTTTGTCATTGCTCGTGTGATTGTACAATTTGTAAGGCGTGAAAGTTTAACGAACAAAAAAACCTATGTTAACTTTTAATTATTGACCTGTTTTGATTGTTGTAATCTATACATACATTATTACTGGCCTTGATTTAAAAGGCCTGAAATACTGAAACCTTGGCTGAAATATTGGCAGCTGATATATTTTACAGTAATTCCTGAGATTAACCAAACAAACAACGAAACTCTTCAGTTTTATAATATTAGTTTTGATAACAAACGAAAATACAAATGTAATTACTGGTTGTTGTTAACGTACGGATAGAGGACTTAAACACAGCAACTGCCGAATAGCAATACTAATATGTAGGTGCCCTGCCACGCTCACCCAGAGGCTTAATAAATTTATTATTTAGTGAGGCACAGTTTCGCTGGAAACTACCTAAATTGTATCTTTGTTTATTTAACAAATTGTTTAGCTTCATTTCACTTCATGAATGCTAAGTTTATCTGACTTAGAGTTAGTGTACATACCACGGAAAATTTAGTACTTTTGAAATATATTTTGTAAAATTTTGATTGTTAGTGATCTGTTGGTTAATTTGTTGTTTTCTTGATTTTAGCAATCATTATCATAATCATTATCATCATTTCAATTATAGGACGCCCACTGCTGGACATAAGGATCCTTCAATAAATACACAAAAGAAGATATATATCGGCCTATATCTATCGTCAACCAATCAATTTTTAAAAGAATTTAGGTCGGTTTACCAGGAATGACCAGAAATGACATGGTCTGGGTCGTCCTCAAAGTATTGGGCCGGTCATCGAGGCAGTTTTTAGTGGGAACACCACATACTTCTGGCTTCTTCGCCATACCCAGGAGCATTTCCACGAGATTTCAAATTCAAATATTCCAATTTAAAATATCTTTATTTCCTAAAAAAATTAAAATTGTTTGAAATCGTTTTTTTATGTAGACTAAAGTTGTAGATCAACACAACACACAATAGCAACAATCTCTGTTTTGTCAAATAATTAGGTAAATAAATTTAATAAAAATTATACCTATACAAAATCCATGATATATCTGTGCCGATCCACAACCGCTTGTTTCCAAGGCCTTGAGCCTTATGAGAAGAAAGGGCAAACAAACTCAGCGTCAATACTTTACAATTTACAGATAAATACATTTGCATCAATTAATATACCACAACATTCCACAACCACGACTCTAAAGTTGCAGCTGTCACTAACCATCAGCAGTGCTATTCTCTAAGGAAACAGCCTTGCGTACAACGCTGTCACAGCGTCGAACTTCAAACTAACCTTGTTTAAAATTCTACGCTCTTACAGCGCTGTAGCGTCGAATTTCAAACGAACTTAGTTTGCTGCTGATGGTTAAAGAATATGATATTATTGGCGGTAAGTGAAGTAAATCAACTGAGTCTTTTTTCGGTCCATTTTTTTATGAATAGATATATGTAATGCTAAACTTATAACGGGTTTTAGTTATTTATTATGTATTGAAGCTAATCTAGTAGTAAATGACGTTTACATTAATTTTGCGAATGAATTTCGTCGACGATACGCCATCCTCACAACCACTTCATCCACAGTAATCCACACTTGGTTTATGTTTCAAGACGTTCACAGGTGTAACGGGCTTCTGCTAATCCCATGTAATTAAGGTGTACAATATTAACAGAGTACGGTGCTACATCGGTTCTATTATTCAATGGATTCAAGGTACCAAGGAAAATGCTCTCGGATTACACGCTGAGATTGCCAATGCATTATGAAGAACTTGCAGCTTGGAGATTTTGATTACTCACTGCCGGGGTTTTGTTTGTTGAAATTAAACGTTAATACACAGAGGTTAGGAAGTAAACCTTTTTAAAGTAATGTTTTTTTAAAGTACCAGTACCCTAAAATTTTGTTCAAGAACAAGGAACTTCATTTCAATGAAAAATACTGAATCATCAATAAATATATAAAGAGGTCTTAACTGTATCAGTCACTTAAAAATGTGATTAGTTAACAGGTAAAAGAACTGCGTTTTTGGAGTTAAACTGATTAATATTTTTTGGTTTTGATTGCATATCGCTTTAAAATCATATCAGTAAATTTAAAAAAGGTATGAAAGATTTAAAATTGTCTTTATTCGTATCATCGACTTGTCACTTGAACCATGCAATACCTACTCAACTCGTACTTAAACACTCTGTTTATGATAGCCTGCATGTGTTTATATCCTTATTTGAGTAGAGGCTTAATGTGTAACGAATTTCTAGTTTTTTTTATTTATAACGACAACTCAGAGTCAGGGTCAAATCAAATCCATCAGGTGGCCCGTGGTGTCATAAAAAATCTATAGTGTTTAATATAACTTTATCTCTTAGGTTGAATTCTATAACAAGCCTGAGTTTACCCTCGAAGATCTCTTCGGCGTATCTTTTTAAGGCTTTCGAGAGCTGCATGGTTTTTTTATGCTGTGGAGGACAACAGCACTACAAAGATAAGGAAAACTTGAAACAAACCCTATACGAACCCGTCTAGCCTTGTGGTATAGTAGGCTAAAACCTCCTTTTTAAGAAGCAGCCTGTGTCCAGCAGTACACTGCTTAAGGCTGTTGATGATGATGATAATATGGGACAAACGAGCAGACGAGTCAATTGTGGTTAAGTGACTACCGCTACCTATGGACACCTGGCTCAACACTCACAAATGCGCATCCAGCTATTGAGAGCCCCAAACAATATTTTTTAAACCCTTTTTTTTACGTTGCGGCGGGGTGGTGTGTCGAAATCGGACCGACTAAAACCACACGGTGTGCTACTCTGCGCCTGTAATAGGAGGGGTCCGGGTACCGCTGTTA